CCAAAGCCTAAAGATAACACTCTGGGCAATTCCAAGTTCGTCTGATACTTCCAGTTGGGTACGCCCCATTCCAGACAGCAGATAATTCTACCACGTAAAAAATCATCCAAATGCGTCCTTTGCGTCATAACTATTCGGTTATTGCACTGAAAGCGCCTGCGAACAATTTTACTTCTTTGCCTGTATTCCTTATATATCACTCTCTTACACTCTCGTCATTGTGACGTACCATCGGTGTCATCTGGTTACTTCCTGAAATTTGCATATGATTCTTGAAGATGTGTGTAGTGATTTTACAGGTGATATATTTATTTTAGAGTTCGATTTCCGCGTGACTCCGAATTATCCTTAATTTTTGGACATGAGTGAAAAATGAATTCTTTTCATTACGTCTATGCGTACGTATGTGCGTATGCGTTTCGCATAATTCAAAAACGATTAGGCGCAGAACGTTGAAATTTTCTGCATGGGACTGCTAGAAAATCTAGACGTGCACATCTCTTTTTATTCCTTGTACAAAGTAAAAGAAGTATTGTAATCACGAAAAATTCAGGGTATCATATTTCAACGAAAATATCCATTTTGACCGCTGTCGAATACAATTTAACATTGTATTCGATAGCGTGACATCTGTACGTAAGGACAGACTAAAAGGCTCTTTTCCCCCAAACGAATTATAAAACTGATTTAAATTGGATTCAGAAGAGATTTTTTTCGTGGCTTCTATATGTAAGTATGTATGTATCACACATTACTCAAAAGTGAGTACCTCAGAACGTTGATATGGGACTCCTATAACATATAGTTGTGCACCTCCCTTTTTGGTTACTGTGGGCCGCACCAATATATATATATATATATATATGTGTGTGTGTGTGTGTGTAACAAAATCAAACTTAGAAGTGAAGACTAGCAGGAATTTTGATGGTGTAGAAGTGTTGATTCATAATGAATAGGAAATTGAAGGTGAAGGCAGATTCGATATTCCTTTTTTATTTCAGCAAACATGTTGCGGCCACAAACTAGTTGGCACATTAATTGTGCCTATTCCAAGAGGTTTACATTTTTGATAACTTTGCAGCAAAGCAACAGACAGACAGCAGTCCACCCAGGCCAAAGCGTAAAGAGGCAGTTACTATTGGCTGCTTGAGTCTTAGTTCCATTTACATCACCAGAATTATGTAAGATTCATATGACATGGATTAATCTAGAGATGGCGCAGTGCAGAGAGAGGTTACTATTTTTATAATTAAGAAGGGAAATTTACGTTGCTAATTTAATCTTTTATACGAGCATTCTTTATTTTTCTTACATATATATGCGTGTGTGTTGTGTGTACCCAATGTGTTACCCGGATCTATGAGCGCAGTTATTTTTATTCTTATATGTTGGTAAATTGTGGAGTTTTTGCTATCAAAATGATAGAATTATATTGTTCTTATTTTCCGGTTGAGGTTTTTATGCCTTTTGTTAATGTGCATGCAATAGTTGCAGAATTATTAACAATTTAAAAGGTATTTAAGTGCGATTAAGATACATTTTTTTTTACCACAGCAGTCATATTTGTTTATATAGCAGAATAGTGAACTCAGTTTTTGCATCTTCAGTGTCTTTTTGCCGAGTGGAATCAAAAGTAAACTTTAAAGTTTTGTGCACCAAAAAATCTGCCTTTTTCCCTGGTGGTAGAATTGCTTGCTCTTGAGTAGAAACTCTAACGTTAATCGTAAAATTTGTTTTTCATTGCTTTAATTATATTTGGTGTTTTACTTTTTTCTATATTTTTCAATTTTTAATAAAGATATTTTGAGGATTTATGTATTTTTGCCTTGGCGGGAAATGATAAATGAGTTAATTGAATGAAAAATGTATCTCTAATGAATTGCGAGGAAATAAGTTTAAATGGAATGCAGCAAAAAATGCGTGTAATTTAATATTCGGTACAAAGAACTCATGTAGCGTCCGCATCAAATATTTTTTATTGGAATCAGCAACACCATATATATATATATCTAAAATCTTCCCCCTTATCCAGCTTAAAAGTTCCTTGCCGGGCCTTTATTTTCGCAGTCGTTGATGGTAGTCATATACTTTCTGTTAACAGAAGTACAGGGTGCGGCAGGGAAACTTCCTTATTTGAAACGCGCGCCATCTAACGACATTTATTCCGAGAAGGGTGGGGTGGCGCTCATTGAAAAGAGCGGTATCTAAAGTTTTATGTCATGTAGGCTTAGTACCGATCAGGCAGTGAACGAGAGAGGAGCGTGCGTTCTCCGTGGAGTTGTACTTTTCAACGTACTGCATTTTCATCCATATAAATTGGCAGTGGTGCAAAACGTGATTTTCTTTCACTAAAAAATGCATACAAAGCCGTTCTTGACAATACGCCACATGATGCCCTTGTGTTCTTTAGCGATGAGGCTCATTTTCATCTTTCCGGTTACAGCATGCATTAACTAGCAATTTGGGCATTCCCGGGCTTCGCTAGACTTAACAGCATTACCGGTCCACCTCTCCCTTTGGAGCCCGTCGCGGAGATTCAACCTCTCCAGGAGAGGGCCCACCGCCTGGCGAAGCCTGGTCCTGGTAGTTCGCTGGTCCTGGTCGTTCCTGGTCAACTGCCTGGCACTAGTCATTCGATTTGCTACCTGCCAGTCGCTTGGGAGAGCCCGTCGCAGTGGGCCCGTGGCAGTGGACGTCGCGGTGGTCCCGTCGCAGTGGGTCGCTCTGATAGCCGGGGGCCACCCCCCGCTATCAGAGCCGTACCACTCAGGACATGCCAGACCCCGGGGCCGGCTAATGAGTGACCTTTCTCAAGGTCTTCAGAACCACCAAGTTCATAAATTTTATACCCCCGTAGACGAGACTGCCTAGGTACAGATCCTAGCCAGTAGCTTCGCAGAGTTCTCTACGGGGGGAAGAGCATGCATTAAGCAATACATGCGATAATGGAGTGGCACGAATACCCGAGAATTTCATGAGCAGCCCCTCCATACAGAACGTTTGACTGTTTGGTGTGCATTGTCCAGAATAGGCATCATTGGACCATGATTTTTTGGAGAACATTTCCCTGGACGCCTTATCTCCCTACGAGGCGATCGTCAGTGGCCAGCGCGCTCGCCTGATTTAGCCCCGTGTGATTTCTTTTGTGGGGCTATCTGAAATCTCTAACGTCCAAAGACCCTGGCTCAACTGAAGAACAATATTCAAGCTGCTATCGACAACATGCCCGTTGGTATGATGGTAAAAGTGAAAAGAAACTTCAAAACTCGACTATCTCAATACATTGACCAGAACGAAGGCCACGTTAATGATATTATTTTTAAACCGCAATAATAATAATAATAATAAAAAACTTTAAGTGTCTCTCTATAACTTGGAAAAAAAAAAAAAAAATTGGAGAATCTTTACATTATGGTAATTTGGCGATTTTTTGGCGAAAATTTGGCGACCAAGCCTGCTACAGCAACCTGCTAGTTTTGTTTTGGACGCCATTTTGTTTTCACGAAGTAAAGGTATTTTTTTTTTTTTTTTTTTTTTTTTTTTTTTTTTTTTTTTTACTCAACGTTTTTTTCCAACAATCTGCTAGCCGAATTACGCTTATACTAGAACTTTTATGGAACAAAAATGCTTAATCATGACAAAGATTAGGTGCGAAATTGGGAGAAAGTGCAGAATCGCAAACTGCTTCCCGCGTTTTTAAGAATTGCACATACGCGCTATCCATGTACACGTCGACCTATTTTCACTTAAAAAATATCCCAGAATTGGACAAAAATGGCATTTCGGACACTCTTGACTTTATCTATGTACACATCGACCTATTTTCACTTAAAAAGGTCAAAGAAAATTGACAAAATTCCAATTCTTCTTACTCTTGTAAAAAAGCGCGAAACAAATAAGCTGGCGATTCTGCACTTTAGCGGCGAAATAGTTTCTAAGTGCTTATTAGCTAAAATCACGATCGGAATTTTCCGGAAAATGTCACATTAAATGTCTCATGATCTCTCATTTCTCTGAGACAAAATAATCTGTGATTGGAAATGTGCACTTCTCAGATTATTGCTTAAGTCCTAGCTAGTAACCTTTATTGCCTTACCAAAATGTCGCCAAACTACCTATTACCATATTCTAAAGATTAGCCAAAAAATTAAACTGATATCGCTTATACTATTTGTGTTATTCATTTTCAAAATAATGTGGTTTCTCTGCCGCACCCTGTAATTTATATGACAAAAAGATTTCTGTATTTCCAATGCCAATATAAAAAAGATTAATTTACGACAAGTAACGAAATCTAACTTTTAACGCAGTGTTCCTTTCCTATACATATATGTGGGACAGCTTTATATTTGTTTTGAAAAAAATAAAATTATAAGAAGATATTCCCATACGATAAAAATTAACGGAGACATTTAATTTAAAAAAAATTGGAATTTTTTATGTCATTTTCAACTTGCCTCGAGGGATCGTTTAGTTAAGTTAGAGTCATTCCAAGATAATAAGTTTAAATGAAGTGAAACAAAAAATGCGTATATTTTAAAAGTCTGTACAAGGAAATCTTGTCGTGTCTACATCAGATTTTGTATTTAAAATATACTCTCCTTCATCCTTTATTAATTCTCAATAGTTACAACGGGATTTTATTCTACCAGGTTTTGCAGGACATCCTCGTAGAACTTTACAGACGTTCCAAGAAAAGGTTCATCTAGTAGACTATGGTTCCCAGCTTAACAATTCTGGAATTTTTTTTTTTTTCCCCTTATCGGATTGCGTATAGGGAACGAGCTGACATAGAGAACCAAATTTTCGATTCCTTGAAATGCGTTATATCGGTGTTCGAGAGTAGCTGTCATTCGAAAAGATTTATTTGCATGTTTTGTTTCTGAACATTTTATTTCTTTTGTAGATAATCCCTAAAGGGAAAATTGCATATATTGTATATCAACCTTTTAAATTTTCCTTGGATAGACATTTGCAGCAAATCCTTTTCTCTTTTTTAGATTTAAGAAATAAAGATGGCGGATGCAACGGAAAAAACCGGCGACAACAAAGCATGCGTGGTGAATGGGGGCACAGTTGAAGCCGCGAATGCAAAGACTAATAAGAAATTTTGGAGTATCAATAAAGAGACCTTGGCTTTCAAATTTCATTTCTTCTTGTTTATAGGAGGTAAGGTAAACGAATTTTATCTTAATTTCCAGATTAATTTTTTTTCGAACATTGTTTTGGTAATTCAGAAGTCAAACAACAAAAATCAGCGTTATATTTTCAAAATTTTCACAGGAGTTTCGATGGTTTTACCGAACCACCATCCTCAGCTGAAAAACCGCAAATGAACAAGATAGGAAATAATAATTAGATAAGATAAGAAAGCCCGGACAAGAATAAGCAAGTGGCGCCATCTGTTGATGAAACCAGAACTAAAACATAATTCCTTTAAAGGCCGAAGGCAAAGATGGATTGGAATTAGGATCGTTAACTAGAACAGAAAGATTTTTTTGAATGTGAAATACCTCTAGAAAATCCAGTTCTCCAATGGAAGATGTTTTTGAACATCAAAACAAATTCAAAATTATTCAAAAAACATCTTCCGTTGGAGAACTGGATTTTCTAGAGGCATTTCACATTCAAAAAAATCGTTCTGTTCTAGTTAACGATCCTAATTCCAATCCATCTTTGCCCTCGGCCTTTAAAGAAATTATGTTTTAGTTCTGGTTTCATCAACAGATGGCGCCATTTGCTTATTCTTGTCCAGGCTTTCTTATCTTATCTAAACGTTATTTCCTATCTTGTTCATTTGCGGTTTTGCAGCTGAGGATGGTGGTTCGGTAAAACCATCGAAAATAGTCCTGTGAAAATTTTGAAAATATAACGCTGATTTTTGTTGTTTGACTTCTGAATTAGTATTTCTTCGGCGTGTTATTGTGTTTTAATTGCTTTGGTATTCAAATCCATTGGATTCGCATGTCCGGTGCCTTCATTGGTAAGGGTTTGAATAGTTGGGTACTTGCCAAAGTAAAAGTTCTAAAGCAGGCGGAGAGAATTTCTCCTAAGGGGAATTTCATAATTTCAGAGGGGTAAATACGGTTAGCCGGACTCTCCCAGCTTTCTGCTGTGCCGTTAAATAATCTAAATCTAAAAAAATTGTAGAGTTATTAGGTAATACCGATGCAAGGGCATGAAAATGTGCAATGCCCTTCCGGGATTCGAACTCCGGACTTTCCGAATACGCTTCGAATATGCTTCCAGTTATAGTACGAAGACATACAAAAGGAAGAAGAAAATATCTTATAAAACTATAAGGTATTTCTCCCGCCCTCCTAGCATGCCTTCGTGGTGTAGTGGTTCTGCACGCTGGGCTGGTATTCCACACAGCTGACAGCAGGGCCGGACACCCGGATGGCTTTCAAAGACTAATCGGGTATAGTCCGTGATCCGCTCCATCTAGAGCATAACATGTTTACAACATAAAATACCTAGCGTTGCGTTACCTACACGACAGGAGAGCATTGCATGGCCACATAACATAGCTCAGCATAGACATGACATGGCATAGCATTCGACGTGACATAGTATAGAATGTAGTCATTGCATAACGACATAACATATTTACAACATTAAATACACAACGTAATGTAACTTACACGACAGGTGGACATAGTATAGCGATATAACATAGTTAAGCATAAATAACACATAGCAACATAACATATTGAGGTTTCATATTTACAACATACAATTCGAAGTGTGGCATGACCTATGCGACAGGTGGGCATTGCATGATGACATATCATAGCGTAGCGTAGACAGAACATGATATGATATAGTATAGCATAAGGATTACATATTAACAGCCTTAAATATATTCGGGCCGGTATTCCAGAGAACCGTGGTTCGATTCCCGGCGAAAGCGTTTGTTCATTCTTCATCTTGCCTGCTTCCAAAAATACCTATTTCCTCTACAGTGGCACCCGAACTAAAAAGGTGTTGGATGATAATTCTCCTCACACAGGCTTTGGCGATTGTGTTCCCTAAAAACCCCAGTCGCCTGTTAAAAGGGGAGTATATATGGTATTTCTCCCGCCTTCCTAGCGTGCCTTCGTGGTGTAGTGGTTCTGCACGCTGGGCCGGTATTCCAGAGGTCCGTGGTTCGATTCCCGGCGAAGGCAGTTGCTCATTTTTCACCTCTCCGGCTTTTCCAATTAACATAATGTCTCCACAAAACGTATACGTACTTTTTGAGTTTTGGAAAGGTGGGATGCTTGTCTAGCAGTTTTGAAAGGGGGGCATGGAACAAAACAAAGTGAGAGCCACTACGGTAAGGATACTTGTACTTTTGTATAGAAATTCCAAGCATATATTCATAAAATCAACAGTGTGAATTTTGTTGGATTTAAGATCGTAGATGAATGTCAAAACGTTTTCCTTCCAACAAATTATGTTGGTACTCTTTTGTTCTTGGCACCGGATTTAGAAATGTATGCATGCACGTACGTATGTATGTTTGTATATGTATGTGTATATACACACACATACATACGTACGTACATGCATACATAAACACACACCAGAGACGTAGTTAGGATTTTCAGCGCTCTGGGACAACTGAAGATCTTGCGCCTCTTTCTATGCGCAAGAATGAAAATAAATTTCATTCTAAGACTTCGTAACATGAATTTGGCGCCCCTGGATGGCTGCGCCCAGAGACAGATGTCTCCCTTGTCCCCCTAACAACGCCACTGACACATACATCCATACATACATGCACATATGAACGCATACATACATAAATACATGCATGTATACATGCATTTCTGAATCTGGCCCCTATAAGAGAAGAGTATCATGGTGATTTCTACACTTAGAAAGAGGCCATATAATACTCATAAACTAATAAATTTTACATCAAATACGAATATAAATATATCAATTAATCTAATTCTGCATTTAAGCGTTACGAATTTTATTAGTCTATACAGACATTTAGATATTTCGAAGCAGGAGAGATGAAAAATGAGCAATGCTCTCGCCGGGACTCGAACCACGGACCTCTCGAATACACGCCGAGTTTGCTGACCACTACACCACAAAGGCATGCTAAGAAGGTGGAAGAAATACCTTATGTATTCCCCCTTTTAAAGGGCGAGTGCGGTTTTTAGGAGACCCAATTGTCAAATCATCATCCAACACCCTTTTAGTTCGGGCGCCACTGTAGAGATATCAGGTTAATTGGAAGCAGGAGAGATGAAAAATATGGAACGCCTTCGCCGGGAATCGAACCGCAGACCTCTCGAATGCGCGGTCAAGCGTGCTGACCAGTGCACCACGAAGACATGCTAAGAAGGTGGGAGAAATACCTTATGAGTCTTAATTATAATAGTTTGAAAACTACTAAAAGTTTTAGATATTTATAACATATGTGTGAATTGATATCATTTTTCTTCTCATAAGTGCTCTTTCCATACATTCATAGCTAGAGTTTACTCATATCTTTGCTACCGTTTCAGTGCAGTAGGTGCAGCTTAATGTGGGCATGTTCGTTGACAGCTATTTTGATAATATTACCCGAATGATAACATTAATGACAAAAAAATCTACTTCAAATAACAATGGAACGTAACTAATTTAATATAACTAAAATTGTAAAAAAACGTATTTTCATAACTCTGTATTTCGGAAAAATGCAAAAGTTTGTTTATGAACTGTTCATAATGTCGATAAGGCAAAAAGTTCATTATGAACGGTTTATAACTCTTTTAGAAATTTCGACAATGGTGTATCCATAATTACGAGGGCGTTCCTCAATAGAAGAAACATATCAATGTAAAACCTAAAATTAGATTAAAAAGATGACGGTTTACTTTAAACAGCCGCTGGTATTTAATGCGTAGGATTACTAACGGAAGTGTGAGGATGTTATAGAACAAATAAAACAAACAAAAGATTTTGCACACACATATATTTTATTTTTCATTTATTACATTTATTCATTCCAAATGACCCAATGTAAAATGGTGTGAACAACATAAAATGGTGTAAACAAATGGTGTGAAGAAATGGTAGAAAATGTAAATCCATGGACCTAATCCTTGTAAATCCATGGACCTAAAGTGGTAATTTATTCGAACACCTATGGGAGTTAAGATTGCCGCTTGTAAGTTAGATCAAGCCGTTTCAAAACCACAACAAAATTGTTCGCCATGTCGCAGAAGGAATGGAACAAAGGTGCCTACAGAAATGTACGGAAATTTAGTAAAACATATTCCTCGAATGATAGAAGCCTGACGGGGAAAAAGGTAAACATTCGTCATTCTGACACCAGAATAACTTCAGCTAAAAAAATTCTTAAGGGTATTCAATGGTTAATAGCAACACAGTATATAAACCGAACAGTTTGTTATGGTACTCTGACTACACAGACTTAAAACAGATCGAAAAATCTATTCCACCAGACAGAGTGGTATAGGTTTGGTTTGGTTTCTTTGATTATGGTAAAAAAAAAAAAAAAAAAAAAAAAAAAATTAAGAATTTTTGTAAATTATGCGGAACTGTTATTCAAAAGCTTTTGTTAAAACACTTAATTAACATTAAAACATGATAAATGTTAAAAACGCAGATTATTTAATTATGAGTAAAACAACGTAGTAATATAGTACGAGTATTATAAACGCAGATTATATTATCTAATGAGTCTTGTTCCGTACTTATAACTCTATCGTTTGGCTGACAGAGCATTTTCCCGTCGCATTTTTGTTATTTGTTCATTTACTATGTTAATCTGTTAGATCTGGCAACATGAAAATAATGTATAAGTTTATTTTGGATAATTGGCAACTGGCATATTCCAAGATTTGAAAAACGCTTATACGCAAAATGTACTCGCTGTAATAACTGTTCCTGTTCTCGTTAAGAATAAATAATTAAAAGATATCGTTAATAAACGCATCTTGCTTCTAATTATGCACAAGTCTGTAGTAAAGATTATTTACGAATATGAGCTGAAATTTTATTTAGGTAATAAATGAATGTCTAGAAAGTAATTTACACTAAAAAATAGCTTCGAATTTTACCACCATGCTATACAGTGTCTCACAAAAGTGATGGGACACTTGTGCTTTACAAAAGGAAACTGTAATAAAATAAATTAAAAAAAGGTGTAAAAATTTTTTGTGGGTGTGTTTCATACTTAAATTTAGTAACAATTATTACAAACATACATTTTCTCAAAATATTAAATATTAATTTATAAAAAATACAATTGTTTAGAACGGAGCAAAAAATGGCTCACATAAGCGATGGGGGGACACCATTGGATACTACTACGTACTATAATAAAAATATTTTTGGGTTTTTTATTTTTACTCAAGAGCAATTGGCAATAATTTATAAAATCGTCCTGTAGTATTTTCTCTCCAGTTTGTTTTGGAATTTTTGTGTTTTTTAGCTCTGTGCAGCCATGAATGCTAAACGAAAAGAAAACTTTGCCTGAAAATTCGAAAATTAGTTATTAATTTGCATACTGAACGTGGAAAATCTATTAGAGAAACTGCTGAAACAGTTAACTTGAGTCATTCAACAGTTTTTAATATCATTAAACGATATAAAAAGAATCATATGATTCAGGATAAAAGAAGACCTGACCGACTATCAAAGCTATCCAATGGAATAAAGCGAATTATCATTCGAAATATTAAAAAAAAAAATCCAAGAATGAGTACTCCTAAAGTTGCTGCGGATTTACAAGCATTGGAGTAATTGCTAATCCTGAGACTATTAGAAGAGTAATTCAATCTGCTGGATATCACGGTAGAGCAGCCAGGAAAAAAATTCTTCGTAAGTGAAAAGAATAGAAAACTCAGACTGGCTTTCGCAAAATCCAACATAAATAAGAATTCTGATTACTGGAATGAAGTTATATTTGCTGATGAGAGTAAATTTAATATATTTGGTTCTGATGGTAGAATCTTGGTGTGGAGAAAACTCAGGGAAGAATTTCGCAAACAGAACTTGGTGCCAACAGTAAAAACATGGTGGAGGAGGAGTTATGGTATGGGGGTGTATGTCGTCCGCTGGAGTTGGTAATCTTGTTTTTATTGACAGTATAATGGATCAGTACAAGTATGTTGACATTTTAAATCAAAATTTGAAATCTTCAGCACGAAAATTGAACCTTCATAACGATTTTAAATTCTACCAGGACAATGACCCCAAGCACACTGCTTTGAACGTTAGAGTTAGACTCAGACTGCTGTATAACTGTCCTGAAATAATAAAAACAGCACCACAATCTCCAGACTTAAATCCCATAGAGAATATTTGGCAAGAATTGGAATCAAGAATTCGCAAACACACCATTTCTTCAAAACAACAATTAAAATCGGTGCTTCAAGAAGAATGGGGTAAAATCACTCCAGAAATCACAAAAACATTAGTCGAATCCATCCTAAGAAGATTAAATCATGTTTTAAAAGTAAAAGAAAATCCAACAAAATATTAACACCTTTTAAAAAGTAAAATTTTTGGATAAATATTTGATGGAAAAATAAGTGTCCCATCACTTATGTGAGCCATTTTTTGCTCCGTTCTAAACAATTGTATTTTCATTAAATTAATATTTTAATATTTTGAGAAAATGTATGTTATGTAATAATTGTTACTAAATTTAAGTGGGAAACACACCCACAAAAAATTTTACATGTTTTATTAATTTATTTTACTACAGTATCACTTTTGTGAGACACTGTATATAGCATTTATTTAGTGCATGAAATATTGCTTATCTCATGTCCATTCTTTATTGTATTTTATGTTAAATAAATTTGATATATTCACTTGTTATCAATTGCTAAATGTGTCTTATTTGAATTAATTGCTTTTGGTTTTTTTTTTTTTTAGCTTTTGGTGCAGTGTTTCCATATTTAACAATTTTTGCGCAACTCAGACTTGGAATCAACGCAAGTTCTTTGGCATTAGCGCTCACAATACAACAGTTTTGTTACATTGTCACCAAATTACTCATCAGTTACATAGTTGATTACCTTAACAAGCTCAAACAAGTCATAGTATTTCTGATACTCATTCAAGGAGTATGTCTCTTCCTTCTGTTAGCTCTTCCGCCAATATCATCAGAAAACAAAATCCAAACAGAATCAGATGAAGCAATGGTATGTAAAAATATGACTCATCAGAATATAAGTCCGTTTTGCTTATCAATGAATCTAGAACGTTTTTGTGAAATTAATAAGTCTGCCTCAGAGACAATAAAGAAAAATGAAAGTATCTGTCATAATATGACAGATGCAGATCTTTGCACCCTTTTCTGTAATTCTTCTGATAGTTTTCCTGCTTCAAATAATTCTTCTTGTCTGCGCTATGTATGCACTACTTATATTAATAGTAGTAGTGTACAGATGAATATTTCAACGAATGATGAATCTCGTATGAACGATGAATATTCTACAAGGACCACTGCTTTCGTGCACTCACAAGGAACCTCAAGCTCATTATGCTGTTGTGATATTCAAAATGGAACTGCTAGTGCCAATAAATATGGACACGAATGCTGCAATTTTTCAGCCGTATTTGACGATAATAACACACAAGTTCAACCTAACAGCTCCTTTGTTTTATTATGCAAAGACAAAAACTCAATGCTTACCAGTTTCTGTTGTAGAATTGAAAAAGACGATACAGATAAAACGCCATCGCATAAATCTTTATTAGCCACTTACCAGTTTTGGGTTTTTCTGCTGATCCTCATGATTTCAGGAGCATGTGTTAATGCCCTTTTCACCCTATCAGACACTGCTTGCTACGAAAGTATTCAAAAGACAGGTGCCGATTTCGGACAACTAAGATTATGGGGTGCTTTTGGATGGGGAATAATAGCACCTTTTGCTGGATTTTTGAATGATTACACTGGGGACTATGTAGCTGCCTGGTGCGTTATGGCTGTCATGTGCGCAGTAGATCTGTGCATTATCTCTAAATTAGACTTGGTTAAACCAGAATTTTCCAAGAACATATTAAAAGATGTTGGCACAGTGTTTAGATCGAAGGAATTTTTGATTTTTGAACTTGGGGTGTTGATGAATGGAATTGGAACAGGAATAGTTTGGTTCTATTTGGTCTGGTTTCTCACCACAATCGGAGGAACTCGTTTTTTAGCAGGACTGACTCAAACTTTGCAATGCTTTATTGGAGAGATACCATTCATGTTTTTTTCTGGATGGATAATAAAACGAATTGGGTACATGAATGTTCTTACCCTTGCTTTAATGGGATATTGTGTAAGATTCTTTTGGTACAGCAACCTTTATAATCCCTGGTTAGTGCTTCCTATAGAATGCATGCATGGGTTTACGTATGGCATATTTTATGCGGGTGTGACTGCTTTTGGAAAACTCAGTGCGAAACCTGGAACAGAAGCCACAACTCAAGCTATCGTATGTTCAACTCATGAAGGATTAGGTGAGTTAATACTTTCTTTTAAATATCCATCTTAAAAATGCCACTGTTTTTTTGAAATTTTTTATGGGGTATCATAAAATTAGTATCACAATTAATATTGTTGCGTTTTTCTTTTCTGACACCAGTTATTACGTTATTTTCTTCCTTCACGTTCGTACGGGGTTAGTGTGGATTTGGAGTGAATAATGACGGCACTTGGTGAAGCATCAAAACACACTTTATTTGGCCAGTACTAATCAGGAAGCTCGGAATTCACGTTACAGTCGTCGAAGAACTACTGTAAACACGCTGACACAATCAGCGACACTACCTTCAGGTTATCAGGCTCTCACGGTGGAGACAGCTTCACTATGAAGCACCAGACTACAGCTCCCGACTGTGCTCGGTCGTTCTCGGAACTCCACGTACTCTCGAGACTCTCCACGCTACAACTCGCGATGCACTCGACGACACACAGAGCACAGCTCCTGATTCTTCGGTTCAGTCGTTTCCGGAGCTCAACACGCTCTTTCGACGATGCACTAACCGAGATACACTAAGAGACTCCTTCGGTGAACTCGACGACCCACTCGGCGCTCGCTGCCCGGCTGTCAACTCGATCGGCTCCGCAGGGATTGACTCGCTAGACGAGACATCAACTCGATATTGGCTAACTCGCACTCTAGACGAGGCACACACACTCGCCTTCTCGACGAGGCACACTCACACACACACTAACTGACTACGAACCAGCAAGGTTTATATAGCTTTCGGCTTGTGTTCGAGAACATTCTGGGCTAAACCGGAAAGAACTCGTTCCAGAAGGTTCTCCATCCGTCCATGGGATATCGCCAATTTTGTCGCCAAATGGGTGATTTCTAGCCAAATGTGGTAGCCCTGCCTTCCCTTGCCATTTTATGGCAACCCTAAAACTGCTTTGCGGAGAAGCCATCTCACCGCGCCTTTACATTTCGTAACAATATTAATAAATTTTGTTGCTCAAAAGAAAAGGCCCATTCAGCGAATGCTTTTATTGCAATTTTATGATCTTAGTAATACTGTAAAATTATTTTTATAACTAACAGTCTTCTTAACAGTTAAAGTTAAGAACAACCGTTAAAGTTCTTAACAGTCAATTAGTATTAAAAGCAAGAGATTTGCTTACAGTTTGCCGTTTTGTAGTTGATACATGAGCTAACAGCACTTGTCGTCAAGGGATTTTTCATCTAGGGTATTTATTGACAACAAACGATTTTAATTTCTATTATTTGTGGCTAACCAGCAATCAGTCTCCTGCAAGATATATAAATATTCTTATGGCCACTCAATACTCCTCTGAGAGGTGCTGAACAAAGGCTGGACAGTGCAGTATTTTTGTACGTGGTGTCTACTCATAAATGCAAGAGATCGAATGATGAAACGCAGATCTTACAGTTAATTATATTCGGAATATAAAGTAATTCCAAGAAACACGATGAATAAATGAATATGGTTTATTTGAAGTAGAAATTTCCAATTTTTTTAACAGACCCATGTTTCAGTCATGTTTTTTCAAAAGTTTTGATATAATGATTAGATACATTGCACTAGATAAAAGTTAAATCACCTTATTAAATGCTTTACGTGAATAATTCTGAAAATTTCTTATTACTTTCGATTCACTTGCATTTAATATACATTTTTTAATGTGAAACAATATCTATTGCTTTCACTATCAATTAGCATAGTACTAAAACAATTACACTTTACATTGTACCGTTAGTATATATATATATATAAATTCGTTTTTATTGTATATGCATACATATGCAGATGAATCACCATTGATAAAATGGGAAAAAATTAGTATGTCATTTTAGAAAAAATGGTTTTTTTTGGTTTTATCACTTTCGCATTTATCTTGCCATTTTTTCATAATTTCTTTCTGCAATAATGTTCCTATATAATACATTGATATTCTGAAAAATAGCTTTAGAATCTAGAAAATACATACAAAGAAAAAAAAAAAAAAAAATTCTGAAAGGCTTCAGATTTTAAATTACGTCCAAAGAGGCGTTTATTTAAGGTTTTGTGTGTTACCTTCATTTATTAAATATCATGTTCTACGTACTTAAACCATAAAATTCAGTTCAACAGCAACGTCGCAAAATAATTTTAAAATGAGCATATTTTTAGAATTTCCGATACACAGTCTCATGCCCTGGAAATAATTTTTTTTTCGTACAGTGTTGCCTTTGCTCCCTTTGAAATCGTTTAGTTTTTTAATAAAAAATTCGTTGAAGTGTTACAAAATATGAAATCGATAATAAAACAAATTTCAAATTCAAATTAGGGCTTTCACATGCCGATATTCTATGCAAGATCACGTTATTCAAATTTTGATGACTCTAGGTACCGTTGTTTTAATACAGTGCGAGAAACATACATACATTCATACAGATTCTTCATTCTTAAATATCTTTAAATATAAAACAGGGGTATAATATTTGGTGGCAACAGTTTGAAAAGTGATTTGCCGTTTATAGTTACCAACGCAAAATGCCAAAACGAAATTAATAGTCCTTCAGGGCAAATTGCTCCTTTGGACTAATAATGAATTCTATATACCTAAAAAAATAAAAATATTTATGAATTATGGCTAGAGGAAGACGAATATGAGTTTTTATCATAGCCACTTAAGTAAGAGGAACTAAATATTATCGGATACATTTGGATGCTGTGCTAACGCGCTGAGTAACACAGAAATCACTTCTGTGAAATACAACATCTTATGGACCACTCTGCCTGCAGATTATTCCCTCATACTCAGAAGTTTTCTGAAATTTCATTCTCCCTCTAAGAATCTATGAGGTATTAGACAGACATATTGTGCGATCTAGTATGTTTTGCTATCATGAAATGGTAGCTAGATCCACTTAAGTTTTGTAGCTTGCGAAATTTCCCACAGGAAGGAAGATAAACCACAACAGGCAAAGAGTGTAGAAGACCCTTTTATTTATCGCAGACTCGTTAACAGAAAACAGTGATCTACGTTCTTACAACTGAAATACCGTCAAATTGCGATGAAAACTCAAGCGATAGTATATAAAGAAGAATGTCTGTTTCTGGTGTTTGCTTGTTCGCGATTTGTTTAATAAATAAAAAATCGTGAAATTTATAATGTGTGGTGTAATACACTTAACATAAAAGCCCGGTTTTCTTAGGCATTGTTCACGCATTTCTTTCTTCTGGCGTACAGGAATAACAGTATAAAAATGCAGCTATAACCACACAATTTGTGCTTTGCAAATCTGCTGATTTGCTGAGGAAAGTCGAATACATCACAAAACACAAATAAAAGTTGCTTGTTTTAATTCCTTTTCTTATCAGATATAACAAAGCAGGTAAAAAAAAAAAAAAAAGATTTGTAATTATTTTTAGGAAAATAAATACGAAAACCTTGGATAAGGCCAACGGTTGCCCATTTCGCAACCCCCTTAAATATTAATTCTTTTCGCTATGATATCACTCCTGACTAATTGAATGGTCTATAACTTCTTTTTTAATGAATGTAGACCTAAAAGGAAACCATTTTAGGAATTCTAAGGAACTGCACTCTCTTTTTTCCGTTTTACTTCCTTGTACGGAGTCAAAAGGAAGTATTGTAATCGCGAAAAGTTTCAGGGCAGCATATTTCAACGAAAATATCCATTTTGACCGCTATCGAATGCAATTTAACAATGTTTTTGCGTGACATCTGTACCTAAGGACAGAATAAAGGACTCTTCTTAACAAAATGAATTGAAAAGAGACTTTTTTCGTGACGCCTGTACGCACATATCTACGTGTATCTCGCGTAACAAAGTGTAGCTTCAGAACGTTGAACTTTCTATATAGAAGACTGCTATAACATGTAGTTATGCACTTCCCTTTTTGGTTGCAATCAGCTGCACAAGAAGGACAGAATAAAAGGCTCTTTTCCTCAAAAAAAATTATAAACCTGCTTTAAAATGAATTCTGAAGAGAATTTTTTGTGGTGTCTGTACATACGTACGTATCTTACACGCATAACTCAAAAACGAGTAGCCTCAGAACGTTGAAATTTTGTATATATAGGACTGCTATAACATGTAGATGTGTACTTCGTATTTTGGTTGCAGTCGGCCGCACTAAACGTATATAAATATATTTTTATATATATCTACTTTTATACATATTTTGGTGCTTTATGTTCGATCATCGTATCCTAGTCCTCCCATCCCCTTACAAGAAGGCCATTCGTCACTCATGATAACTAAGCCAAGTAATAAAAATTAAGAATTTCATAAAATTATTCTGCAGCTTTCATATTCAAACATGCGATGAAATGACAATGTTTAATTGTAGTGGCGACATCTATGAAATAACTGAATAACTAAAAGTGGTAGATCTCAAATTGCACCAAAACTCTTTATACAGCTTCAGCGCTGGGAATCAGAAGGCTGTACAATTTTGTATTACCCAGCAGACGAAAAAGGTCAAGTTAGTAAATTATAACTAATGCATTACTTTATAATATCCTGTAGATGTTTGATGTGGTTAAAATATTGAAAAATTTGACATCAGGCGTAGGGATTACGGAGAGGGATAAGACTTTAGAGACTTGAAATGCACGATTTTAATTTAGCGGCATATATTATTTGAAAATAAGTTGTATTTTTCTTTCTATTCGATTTTAATTGTGCAGAATTATTGCTGACGTTTTCCTCGTTTTTTTTCAGGTGCTGGTCTCGGATGTGTGATTGCCGGAATAGGTTTCGATTACTTGGGTGCCCACAGAACGTTCTTTTACGCAGGCATATTTACTGGGTGCGGAATGCTGATAAACATTGCATTTACAATTATGCTCCAAAGGCGGAAGAAAGTCATAAACGTGACATCCGAAGCAAAAGCATAAAAATTGAATGACTTTCTAATCAGTACTTCTGTATATTTTAACGTGAATGTCAACTGAAATCATATACAGTTTTATTTTGTGCCTATTCTTTGACTTCGTCTTGATTTTTGTCTCCTAGAGATGAAGCTGCATGACAAGGGCGAACTACATACACAAAATAAAAAGTTCCCTCATCTAAGGTTTAAGGAGGAAAGGAAAGAGAATTTCTAGCAGCTAAAAATAATCGGTATATTTTGCGTAATATAGTGAGATTCTAGATAAAAACAATCGATATATTTTGTATAATATTGTAAGATTCTAGCTAAAAATAACCAATTTCTAGCAGCTAAAAAAATCGATATATTTTGTATAATATTGTAAGATTTCTAGCTAAAAACTATCGATATATTTTGTATAATATTGTAACAATCGATATATTTTGTAAGATTTTAGCTAATAATAATCTATTTCTAGCAGTTAAAAATAATCGATATATTTTGTACAATATTGTAAGATTCTAGCAAAAAACAATCGATATATTTTGTATAATACTTTAAGATTCTAGCTAAAAACAATCCATATATTTTATATAATATTATAAGCTTCTAACTAAATATAATCGATTTCTAGCAGAAAAAATAATCGATACATTTTGTATAATATTGTAAGATTCTAGCTAAAAATAATCGATATATTTTGCATAATATTGTAAAATTCTATCTAAATTAAATTTAACATTTTGTTGGCTAGATCTTAACTTGAACTGTGAAGCGACTATTCCCTCAGTTCTATATCAATGACAAGACAAGCGAAGGGTGAAAAGACACTTTTATTCCAATCAAGAAAATATTTATAGTCGGCAGTCCTGGCGCTTACAAAACTAAGCCAACACTTTTGGCTCAATAGGAATATCAAATTAAAACTAAGTTAAATAATCAGCCGAAGTTTCACAGAGTTGGTTAACGCAAGTTGGCTGTTAGCCCAACCACCGACGCACACAAAGCAGCAATTAATATGCACGGCCGGTACAATAGCAAGCTTAAATTAATATGAGCGTAACAACCTGTCCGAAAGGCAAAACACGCTCCGTTTGAAGTAACTCAGACACCAGCTTAGATAGTATTTTTCTACAATACTTTGCATATCACCCGAAACTGAAATCTTGTTTTGGAAAGAAAGCGTGGGTTGAAAGCAAGAGCAATAGGAAAGGTTGCTTCAAAATAAAATCAAATAAATTAAACAAATCCCCTCAATATTAGCTGAAATCTTTTGAAGTAAATGCATATTAAACTAATAATGCAGCTTATACCCTATATGGTACTTACGTATTATCGCAACCAGGTTGGCGCGATTTGTAAGTGTGAGTAAAAAAGTATGAATAGAAAGAAAATGTATATTTATTAATTACAGATAATTTTTAACACAGTTTTTTTTATATTATTTGTTTTAAAATATAGAATAGCAATTAAACCCTTCCGGTTTCGAATTTGAATAAGTTGCAGAATTATTTTTTCGGCGGAAATCTTTTGGCTATTGCTTTTTAGCACTGATTGAAAACCGTCTTCGTCATTAACAGCTTGAGCTCGGCGCCATATAAATTCGATAAGGTATGAGTCAAGATGATGACGGCCTGTTCCTCTCTGTTTTTTGTTGCGCCATTTGGCTGAGCCCCACATGCGCTCTAGATGTTGTGTGTGAACGCCCGTGTTGGGATCCACAAAGTTATATTTGTGATTAACAGTTCCATGCAGAAATCCAGCATTTTCGAACTCACTTGTATTGTATCCTTTCCAGCAATCCGAATAAATGATGCTTCCTTCCTTGATATTTTCGCAAATTTTTTCCATGAGGGTAACGGCGCTTCTGTTAGGTACAGTAACCAAAAAAAGTCTCTTTCTTTTCTCGGCAAATTCCGCCGAAAACCCATTGCTGTGGTAGTACACGCCCCATAACACGTAGGGTCGCCAAATTTGGCGATTTATGCGAATTTTGGCCTGGTTGCGTTAATACGTAAGTACCAACTATATATTTAATTCCATCTTCAAGAGACTGCAAAGATAATTTTTAAGAGCAGAAAATAATTCTTCCTTCCCACTGCGAGAGAAGTACCGTTAATTTAATAAATAATTTGGCAATAAAGAAAACAGAGCTAAACCTTTAAAATTTCTTCTATGTTGACCAATTTTATGCTAGACATTAGGTGTAGGAAGAAAATTACGTTAGCGTTCCATGGCCTTAGTTACCATTCAACAATAAAATTTGTCCAGAATTCTGAGTAATCTGAGAATGAATATAAAATTCGAAATGTGAAAGGAAGAATTAAATACGCTTGATAAAAAAAGAGATGTTAATAAATATATACTAAATTCAATTAACGTGGATTAGCTAAAATTTTTAGAGCTAATTTTTAAAAACCTACCCGTGCGAGTTTTACAAAACCTGGCACCTTGGCATAATTTGAGTTGTAGAATGGTAATATGGAAAAAAATTGCTATGTTATTTCAGAAAAAGGTCCGATTTTGTGTCAGAATACCTATGTTAGAACAATGCTATATATAAATTTAATATATATCCTAAGTGGCGCTTTCGAGACATGGAAAACGAAAGTTAAATTTCGACAGTCGATCCAGTAGAATGGGAGATAGAATTTTCCCATTTTTTTTAGGGGAGGGCAAAGTTTACCTTTACGATATATTTGAAGTCTTATTTGCGTATTCTTTGAATAGCTAATGATGCTTTAATGGAATATTTTAATAATATTCGGTCCAGTAGAATGGGAGATAGAATTTTCCCATTTTTTTTGGGGGGGGGACAAAGTTTACTTTTACGATATATTTGAAGTCTTATTTGCATATTCGTTGAATAGCTAATGATGCTTTAATGGAATTTTAATAATATAGTTACTTTAATTAAAGAAACATGCAAATGAGCTTGTGTAAATACTTCTGTATGAGTTATCTAAACTTTTAATTAAAGAAAATTTTGGATAGCTACATTTCAGACACGCATTTCATACTAAGAAATTGAATTATATAACTCTGTAAGGTATTTTCCCCGCCTTCTTAGCGTGTATTCGTGGTGTGGTGGTCTGCACACTGGGCGCGTATTCCAGAGGTCCGTGGTTCGATTCCGGGCGAGGGCGGCTGCTAATTTTTCATCTTTCCTGCTTCCAAATACCTAATGTCTCCACAAATCGTTGAAATAAAAGAAAATACCACCAAGAATCAAGTATCATTACCAAGATAGTTAACAACAAAATTAGCCATGGCAGAATAAATTAATAATTATCTGCTCAGGTGAACGAAATTCTTTGGAAAAGATTGTCTAAAGAAACCTTGCTCTGATTGAAGCCATCTATTTCACTAAAATAATTATCCATTAAACTAATTGCTTTTAGTTATTAGTCCAAAGGGATTTGAATCCCGAAGGACTATTAGTTTCGTTTTGGCATTTTGTGTCGGACTCATAAATGTCGGTTCACTTTTCAAACTGTTGCCACAAAATGTTAGAGTCCTGCATTATATTTGAAGAAATTAAATAATGAAAATCTGCATAAATGTATGTATATTTCTCGTATTGTGATAAAAAAACAACGGTACATAGAGTCATCGAATTTTGAATAACGTAATCCTCCAACGAATATGAGCATGTGGAAGACCAAATTTGAAATTTGAAATTTGTTTTATGATCGATTTCCTATTTTTTTAAAACTTTGACGAATTTTGATTAACAAACTCAAGGATTTCAAAGCGAGCAATGGCAACGTTGTGCAGAAAAAACATTTTTATCTCCAGCGCGTGAGTCTCTGTATCGGAAATTCTAAAGATAGGCTCGTTTTAAAACTATTTTGCGATATTGCTGTTGCACTGGATCTTATGGTTTAAGTGCGAGGAATATGATATTTAATAAAGAAAGGTAACACACAAAATGTTAAAAAACGCCCCTTTGGACGTAATTGAAAATCTGAGACATTTCAGATTTTTTTTTTTTTTTAAATTTTTATTTGCTTGAAATAACGTCATGTCACTATAATTATGTTGTTAAATACTCTACCAAATAGCAATAGGATGCTTAATATTTTTATAAATGTTGTAAAATAATGTTTTCTTGTTGTATATTGTCTTTAATTTGTTGATGTAAGTAAAACAGTTTGGATTTGGTCATGTTTTTTTCTAGTGTTTCTTACACAAGCAAAAGAAACATTTTTGCTCTATTGCCATAATTTTCTCTGACATATAAAACCGTATTCAGGAGTCTGCGATTGTAATGCTTAATTAATTAATTAGTTTGTAAAGTATAAACTTTCACTTTCCGAGTGCCTTCGTTGTTTAATTGGAAAGAAAGTCCGGCTAACATTTGGAAGTTCCCGAAGTTCAATTAACGAGGAGGGCATTGCCCATTTTTCATGCTTTCTGCTTAGACAAACCTAATGACGCAAGTTAGAGTTGTCTTTTTAAAAATTAATTTCATGGCAGTTTATTTAACAAAAACGCAGCAGTTTGAAAACTGTATTAGTACCAGATCAAATAAAGAATTAGTGCAGCAAATTAACGATTGTGATGTAGCCGTTCCTCAATAGACACTAATGCCGGCTAGCTTTAAAGGATTTATTAACAGAGCACACAGGAACGGTTACAAACAAAGAAATATATATAAAATGAAACCTAAACGAAATGGAAAATCAAACATTGAGAATACCATAAATAGTAGCTATCATCATGGCGGCTGGAGGTCGACTGACGTTTTTTCATATCGCCACGAGAGGGCGTTTAAATAAAATAGTCCGGTTACAGTTCATGAGTTCATGGCGTGAATAAAATAGTTCAATTACACTTAAATAGGTCTAACGGCTGCATCACATTTGGTGGAGGCGTCGGCTAGCTTTAAAAGGATTTATTAACAGAGCACACAGGAACGGTTACAAACAAAAGAAATATATATAAAAATGAAACATAAACGAAATGGAACATCAAACATTGAGAATACCTTAACATAGTAAGCTATCATCATGGCGGCTGGAGGTCGACTGACGTTTTTTCATATCGCCACGAGATGGCGTTTAAATAAAATAGTTCGGTTACAGTTCATGAGTTCATGGCGTGAATAAAATAGTTCAATTACACTTAAATAGGTCTGTTACCCGATATTGATAGACAAAGGGTAGTCAAATATTTATTTTTATACAAAAAACAATTAGCAGAGTAAGAGACAAACGAATATGGCAAAAGTTAAAGAAATACCGAAAAAAAGTTAAACTTGTAAACTTGCATTCTTTTTTCACAAAAAGAAAAGCAAAAATATCTTTTTACTTACTTTTCTTTTTACTTACTTTGTACGAAGTAAAGAAAGAGAGTATTGTAATCGCGCAAATTTTCGTGTATCACATTTCAACGAAAATAGCCATTTTGGCCGATATCGAATGCAATTTGACGATGTTTTTGCGTGACATCTCTATGTAAGGACTAATTAAAGGACTCTTTCTCCCAAAATGGGTTGTAGAAAGGTTTTAAAATGGATTCAGAGGAGATTTTTTTCGTGATCTCTGTACGTATTCATTTCGCATGACTCAAAAACGAGTAGCCTCAGAACGTGTAAATTTTATATATAGGACTGCTATAACATGTAATTGTGCACCTCTCTTTTTGATTGCAATCTCGCGCACCAAAAGTATATATCCACTCGTGTTACTCGGTTCGGTGAGCTCAGTTATTTTTATTCTTATGTTTTGCTAAACTGTGCATTTTTTGCTTTAAAAATTATTGAATTACCTTACTCTCATTTTGCGGTTAAGATTTTTATGCCTTTAGTTAATCTGAATGCAATAGCTGTAGAATTATCACCAGTTTAAAAGTTGTTTAAGTGAGGCAAGCCTAATTCTTATTCACCGTAGCAGCCATAATTGTTTACATTTGAAACTCAGCAGAATAGAAAATTAAGTCAGTTTCTGTACTTTCAGTCATCTTATAGAAATATATCTATAATGAAATCCGAGGAAAAAGTTTACGTGCAGCAAAAAGTGCGTATAATTTAATATTGCGTACAAGGAAGTCATGTGATGTCCGCATCAGATTTTTTAGTAAAGTGAAAAGATTTGAGTTTTGTAAATCGAACTCATTTCTGCAATATATTTAAATGTTATATTTAACAAAAGACGGCAAAGAAGCCGGTACGAAACCAAACTGTTTTAATTGTTAAGTCCGTCTCTCGGAAGACAGACAGACAATTTATTATCCTGTCTTAATCTACCGATGAGATAATACCAGACACAGAGTAAGATTAAAACAAACCTTTCTTTTTATTAGATATGCAGTTTAACAATTTATACAACTTGCATTGTAACGCAAAAAAAATTGTTTACATTTGAAACAGCAGAGTAGTGGATTTTGCCAATGTAGAGAAAGGTAGCTTCGCAACAGCAAAGATAACGCCTTCATTTA